CCCTCTGGCTTTGGGTCAGTATTTGGGTTCCCAAGGCCTTAGCTGCCCTTCTTTCCCTTTTTGTCTTTCTACCCTGTCTGGGAGTGGAGAACAAATCTGGAGATATTTCAGAGAAGATTGGGGGTTGACAGACTGCTGTGGATGCCTCATCAATTTTAGGGTCCCCATCTTTCTCCAATGCCCCTACTGGGAGTAAGTTTCCAAACCCTGGGAAGTCCCTCCCTATGAGCACCGGGTATGGGAGTTTAGGGACTACACCTGCTGCTACCTCAGTAGTGTTCCCTTGGATCTCAATTTTTACTGGGATGGTGGGGTAGTAACTAACTGTCCCATGGACACATGTTATCCCCGTACGTTTAGCCTGCAGCAGCTGACTACGCTTCACGAGCTTCCCTGAGATAAGCGAGATAGTAGTCCCCGAATCAACCAGTGCTGTGGTCTCTACCCCATTTAGTTTCACTGGTCTGGTATACATATGTGGGGTTAGTGAGACCCCCACAAGGTGGATTAGGGAGCATGGATCTGCCCAGTTCCCCAGGTTACAATGCATAGGCTCCTCAGCATTGGGACACTGTGCAGCTATGTGTCCCCACTCCCCCCAGGCATACATCTGTATGGAGCCCTAGGCATTCCCCGGTCTCTTGGTTTGGGCAGTCTAACATCACGCTCCTCTTCTCCCTCAGTGCTCCAACCCTTTGTGGCCTCTAATGGGCCTTCAGCCTCTCTCTTTTTCCACCTGGGCCCTCCTGGTGGCCCAGTCACCCGAACTTTAGGGCTTGGTGCTGCTAGTTTAACCCGGGGTGCCTCTTCCTTAACTGGTCGGGTCAGTTCCTCGCTGTCCTTCGCCTCTCTACCAGGGCGACAACCTCGTGATAGGTGGAGAGTTCGTTCTGCCTTACCCAGGCACGAAGGTCTGGTGGTAGTCCCCTCATGTATTGGTCGATGACCAGAACCGCTAGTATCTCTTCCGGACTCCGGGACTCTGTTTGCAACCACTTTCGTGCAAGATAGATGAGCTCATACAATTGGGACCGGGGGGGTTTGTCTTCCTGGTACCTCCAACCGTGATACTGCTGGGCCCGCACTGCTGTCGTTACCCCAGATCTGGCCAGGATCTCTGCTTTCAGCTGGGGGTAGTCTGCTGCAGCCTCTTCAGGCAGATCATGATAGGCCTTCTGGGCCACCCCACACAGGAATGAGGCAAGGATGCCAGACCACTGATCTCGAGGCCAGTCCTCCCGTAGGGCTGTCCTCTCAAAGGCCAAAAGGTATGCCTCTACATCATTCTCCCATGTCATTTTCTGCAGCCAATGGCTGGCCCGTATGAGCCGCGTCCCATCATGGCCGCGATTCAGCTCTGTAAGGGACTTTACCTGGTTTACCAGTTCTCGCAACATAGCTCGGTCTTGAGCAGCCTGGTCCATCAGCAGGCGATTAGTCTCTTGCTGCAGCCACACTGCCTCCTGTTGGGCAGCTGCCTGGACACGGGTAGCCTCCTGCTGGGCCGCCATAGCTTGTATCAGTGCCTGCACTACGTCATCCATTGTGGTGAAAAAAAATAAACCCTCTCCTTTTTTTGTTTAAATCACCCTCCTTCTTCCGCCGCGCTGTGCACCCCAAGATCCCAACCTGACACCAGTGTGACAAAGTTCCTCCTCTATCTTGGTGGGTCCTGCACTTATTGGCGGATTTTCTTGTCTCAGAGATTCACCATGTGGGTTGGGGAACAGCCCAGAGACCTTCCCCTCTGGGAGAACCCACAGTCCAGGTCAATTGGGAGGTTTGGGGGGAACCCGGGCCCTCCCTCTACTCCGGGTTCCAGCCCAGGGCCCTGTGGACTGCAGCTGTCTATAGTTCCTCCTAGAACAGCTGCATGACAGCTACAACTCCCTGGGCTACTTCCCCATGGCCTACTCCAAACACCTTCCTTATTCTCACCACAGGTCCTTCCTCCTGGTGTCTGATAACGCTTGTGCTCCTCAGTCCTCCAGCAGCACACCCTCTCACTCTCAGCTCCTTGTGCCTCTTGCTCCCAGCTCCTCACACTCCCCCCACAAACTGACAGTAACCATAATGAATCCAAACCCAGGTGCCCTGATTGGCCTGCCTTAATTGATTCTAGAAGCTGCTTCTTAATTGGCTCCAGGTGTCCTAATTAGCCTGCCTGCCTTAACTGGTTCTAACAGGTTTCTGAATACTCTATAGTGTAGCCCCTGCTCTGGTCACTCAGAGAACAGAAAACTACTCCTCCAGTGACCAGTATATTTGCCCTCTACCAGACTCCTATACCCCACTGGTCTGGGTCTGTCACACTAAGTAGGGACGGATTTAGTAGATTTTAAAAAAACAAAGCCAGTTGTGAAAGACCAATTTAATTATACTATAATTTTACTCTAAATGTAGTGATTAGGAAAGGTGCTAGATTTACAACATCAGAAACTAAAGTTCTCTAGCCAGAAAGCAGGTACAAAGAGCATTTTGCTCTGACTGCCTGACAGAGGTGCAGGGACAAGCTGTCAGAGGAATTCTCTCACCATGCACATTAGGCCCTTAGCTGCTTCTCTGAGACTGTTAATGGGTGTATCATTCTTATGGTGGTTTTTATCATGAGGACACCTGTCTGGGAGAAACTGTGCTGAGACTACCACCTCCTGTTAAATAAACTACTGCAGACATCCAAGGATAATGACTTTCAGTCACTACTGACCTTGGCTGTAGTTAAAGAAGAAGTGAAAGGTAATGAGACATCGAACCAATTACTTGAGCAGTCCAGGCCTGCTAGTATGTCCATTATCTTATGGAAAAGGTTTTCTTTCTAAAATAATATTCAGAGTTGCCCACATGCAGAGAAAAAAATCTCATTTCTCTTTCCTGACAGAACTGAAATCTACAGGAGGATTTCTTGTGGCTTTTTATGCTGTCTGTGAAGGACGATTTATGCCTATGCTCCTCTGGCTGCAAGTGGAAAATTATGCTTTAGAGTACAAACTACTGTTACCCTTTATGGTCCTGATTCCATTTCCATTGAAATCCATGACCCAGTAATAATTAAACCTCAGGCCAGAGAAAACTAGAGATGACAATGGATAAACATTTGTTTAAGAAACCAAGAAGTTTTTCAGAGTAATAAAAAACTGTTCTTAAAGGGACACTGTCTGCTTTCTAATTACAAAAACTTGTAAAAGGAAAGCAGCAACCATAATGAATCCAAAAATTTGCACTACAGATACTAACCCAGAAGTGCACAGGCTTTCTTTGGGAAGGCAGTAGTGCTCTTGAATAGCACATTTCTCCTGCTGGAACAGGTTGCTTTCTGCTTGTGTACAACCAGGGTATTTCAGTTTCCTAGGAGCCTGATGTCTCAAAGCACAGAGGACCAGAATGTGGTTGGCCCTTGTGCAAAAGGTTAGGAAGGACGTAGGGAGTCTTCCTCTCCCTAGACCCCAGAGCAGGGGCCAGTTACAGTCACAGCACTCTCCTGGGTGCAGGGACTGCTTGGCACTAGCACTTGCTGCCACAGAGGGGGCAAGGAGGGGCAATCTCCACAACCCTTTAGCCCTGACCGCTAGAGCTGATCAGCCTCAAAAAGAAGGGCACACCTGCACAAGGGAGTCTCGTGTTCTCATTGGGCAGCATGGCTCTGCATCTGTCCTTCCTTAGGGCACTGCTTTAATAGCACAGCCTAGCCCTGAAAGACCAGGATTCTTGCAAATTGAAACATTCTGCCAGCTCACACAAATGCAATGGACAGGCAGAGGTGAGGAAAGCAAAGTGGGAGCCTGCATATGAGTGATCTGAATAAAGCCTATTGTCCAATTTAGCCCTGTCAGCAATGACAGAGTCTCTGTAAATTATTTTTACTTTAAATATGTCGAAAAAAGTTGTATTCAGCTGCCAGCTTTGGGGAGTGATGATATGTGAGGTGAGAAGCCTCAAGAAGGCCAGAAGGACAGAACTGGGCCTTGCACTTTTGAATTTGGTCTGTCTGTTGCAGGTACTGAAACCAGAAATAGGTCAGACTAAATTACAGGAACCTTTTCTTGTTTGTCTCTTCTTCTCTTTCTTGCCTTCTACTCTGTGGCTGTGCAAGTGTTCATATCCTGGATTAGTATTAAATGTTGGCAGGCTCATGCCTGGCACAGAGGGAGAAACCTGGATATGTTTACCAGGGATTATCTGAAATGTTATTTCAACAGCTAGAGTAAGTGTAACATGTTATTTCAACAGCTAGAGTAAACGGAAACTTTTCAGCTATCTAACCAGCCACACACCACACAAAATCCAAATACATTAGAATTTTCCAACCCTCAAATATTAGCACCCAGTGGATATTTTCTTCCTTACCTAAGATTCAGATTCAATGTGTTAGTCTTCAGTGTTCTCTAACAAGCGGTGCAGCTGGAATTTAGACAGATGTAAATCAAATTGTAAGGGACCGTGCTTGCATTATTTACAGTGCAGTCCTGATTTTACCAAACTCCAGCTAACCAAAACTCCCAGTTAATAATAAATATCCATTTTTTGTTTTCTAAGCAACTTAACAAATATTAATACGCAGAAAACTTCCATAAGGCAGGGAAGCAAATATTATCATCTTCTTTTTACAAGTGGGGACAGTGAGGGAGAGCATTTAAGTGACTTGTCCAACCAATGCCACATGGAGTCTGTATCAGATGTATACAGAAAGCACATCAGACTTTTCTTAGAATCTCATGAAGATGGAAAGATAGGAAATTAGATCATTGCTTGTTGCCATTTGTCTCTGTGCTTTTATTCTCTGAGGTAAAAGACAAACACTTTTTGTCCTAAGAAATCACTCAGCTATCTATATCTCCCCAATAACAGCTTTGTTTTTCACTCCAGATTATTGCTCAGAGAATATCTATAGAAAATTAAATAATCTCAGCTAAGGTTGTGTTAATCCAAGTTCTAGAAAATGAGAACACTTTTAATCACTTGGCATTTACTACTTAATTCTATTTTTTTTCTCATTCCTATAGGACAAAACTTTGTTCCATCCGGTAAGCAACAGCTGCATAGATTGCAACCCAGCTGAGAAGAAGATTTTCATGAACAGATGTGATCCTTTATCTGAAACTCAGCAGTGGATTTTTGAACATATTAATATGACTGTTTTAGAAAAATTTAACAGCAAGGCCAGTTCCTAGGGAAAAATACAGATTACATACAGATTGCAAACTACATTTTGGCCAGCATCTGGGTCGAAGGAGTCAGGAATTAAATTTCCTAGATCCAGGAAGTCTTTTCTGAGGATTAAGCAAATGCCACAGCAAAGGCCAATGGGCTGTCATTGTGGATGTACAGTATCTGAAGAACTTGGCTGAGAGCCTCACCAGATGCTGCTGAGAACTTCAGGCTGACAATTCCCTTGCTGGCCAAGGGAAAACTTTATTTAAAAAACTTTTCAAAACATTCTGAGTTAATAAATTGAAACAAAATTCTAGAGTTTCTCAGGTCAAATCCTGCTGTAGTGAGTAGTTATGAATGGATGCTATTAGTTGGGGGTGGGTATATGGTGTGCATGACTACTATGTGAACCTGCAGAAATCACAGGTTAAGAACTAACCCACACTGGTGGAATGCTAACAGTCCCCAGCACTCCAGACAAATTATATGATCTGGTGCCATTCTCTTAATAAAGGTTAGGTTAAGCGGGATTAACCCTCAGATTGCTGATGATGATTTTAAACACTTCCCCATTACATTCCTTTCATTACCAAAATAGGAATGGTAGAAATATAAGGGTTTAGAATTATGTTGTAATGAAGCATGAAATAGACTTCTAAGGTTTCAAAAGTCCCATTTCTCCTCAGCATTTGAAAAAAAATAAATCCATCAAAGCAATTAAATCAGATTTCGATATATGATACAACCTACCTAACACTCATCAACTTGATTCAAATCTAGCCTTCATCTAAATTAAAGGCCAAAAGATTAACAAGGCTACTAAATCTTTAAGACATTCAATAGCAGGTATATGCACCAATAATAGCAGCACAATGCAAGGTTTGCAGAAAGGATTTCCCCTGGAAATCTATATTTACTTTTCCAGTATTTTTATTAAAACTAAAATTGCTTTAAATCAAATCAAAATATTCAGAGACATAAGAGGCATCATGAGTAACAGGCTAATTGTTTATTGTAAATCATAGAGACTTATAGTCAAATAAGCATTGGTACACTGGCATCAGCTAAAAAGTGTTGGCTCCCTGCAGTGCAGCTTACAGGATCCTGCAGGAATTTAGGGAGAGGGGGTGTTTTTGTTTTTTGCAAGGAGGTGGGGAGTCCTGTAAAACTAGTTAGCTCTTTTGCAGATAACTTGATGAAATCATTTAAAAAACTGTGACTGTGCCACAGTTTTCAGCTAAGGCATTGTAAATTTCTGGATGGGGCAGTTAGGAAATGAAAGCAAGTATAAAATTCAAAAAAAGTTCAGTATTTTCACCTTTTAGTAGTATAAACAAAACTATCCAACCCACCACAAAATTTTCTTGCACTGATTATCGTTGTGGCGTATAGTGCCCATCAGCTCTTACATATTTTTGGCACGGTTGGGGGAGAGTTAGTGGGTTAAAAATTTGTTTAGAGAGGCCTGTTCTTCCTCAGTGGAAATCAATGAGTACCAATGTGGGCCATAGTAGAGAGTTCTGGAATTTCTAAAATTAAGAGCACATTTAAATGGCCTGGTTTTACTTGAAACCTGAACCAACAGATGAAAGCAACATGAATGCAGACATTAAAGCCTACAAGAGATGACTGTAATAGCACTTGTCACTTTCAAAAATATGTATGAAATTAATCTGAAAACTTTGTCTTATGTTGCTAGAAATGTGGCCAACTAACCAAAATGTTCATATTTAAACTGTCCAGCCTGACAGTTGAAGGTGATTTTGTTTTGTTTATTGCTCTTTCAGCTGTATCTGTGATGATGACTGTTATCCACACTTGTGTGCTGTTTGCGACTATGGCTTCCAAACCTTAGGTCATAGGCACATTTTAGGAGGAGCATGTCAGATTGGAGCCTTCAGGATGCATGTCCTGAAAAATCAATTGTATGAATTACAACTGTATGTTGGAGAATTGCAGCAAGTGAGTAAAGATCTATTTCAAATGTTCAAGGAGCAATCTGTCTGTAGAGTTAAACTATTCCCATTATGTCTTTAAATATGTTACTGTTCAGACTTAATTTGAAGACTCACTACACTGCACATGGAAGACAAGACCCCAGATTTTAACCTTAGGGTCTTTTACACCTGAGCCGAGGAGAGGTTGATGATAATCTGAGTTTTCATCAGAAAGGGTTTTTTTGTTTTTTGGGGTTTTTTTTATATAGCTACCTGTAGTTAGACCCCGACTGGTCATTACAGACTGTCAGCCCTCTCAGCTGCAGGACTCATAGCACAATTCATTTGCATCTTGAGCATGAGAAAAGAGGATTTGAAAATAGAAGAAAATTTGATGTCTAAAGTGTAAAGGTGAAAATGAAATTCCCAGGATATCTATTTGGACTTGCCCAAACCCCTCAAAGCCATGGTATCAATAGTGTACATCTGAGGTAGAAGGGGGAAAGGAGAACTGCTCTAAATGCTCCAGCACACCTGGCTAAACAATGCATTGCACAGTTTATAGCATTCAGGGTATGACTGCATCCTAATCATCTGATGTTTAAAATACTTAAAGGGCACTAGACTGCTGTTTTGGCAAAGACATTCTATAACTCTTCCAGGTGCTCAATATTGTTCTTGCTCTAAACCAGTGGTTCCCAAACCTGTTCCGCCGCTCGTGCAGTGAAAGCCCCTGGCAGGCCGGGCCGGTTTGTGTACCTGCCGTGTCCGTAGGTTCGGCCGATCGCGGCTCCCAGTGGCCGTGGTTCACTGCTCCATGCCAGTGGGAGCAGCCTGGAGCAGTGAACCGCGGCCACTGGGAGCCACAATCGGCCAAACCTGCGGACGCGGCAGGTACACAAAACGGCCCGGCTCTCCAGGGGCTTTCCCTGCACGAGCGGCAGAACAGGTTTGGGAACCACTGCTCTAAACTAACCTCTGCCACAGGAAAATTTCCCATTATTTGCAATTAGACAATATTTGTGAAATCTGGCAGTTTTTCTAAAATCCATCATTTATCAATGAACAAACTTCCACATAATTGAAATTGAGATCTTTTAACAAAACATAATGGTGCTCCAGATAATGTTTTCAGTTTCTATAAGAAAAGGGTCAGTGCAACTTCACACAGAGAAATTATCAGGGAGCCCATTGTGTGTGGTGTGTCTTGAACAAGGCACCCTAAATGAAAAAAAAAAAAGTGCTTAAATCAATGACCAGATTTCAGGCACATGGTCCTAAGGGACAAAACTTCTACCACATATCCCCACCAAATACAACTGAAAGTTGAAAGCCAGATTCTTTTCCTCTTTCTATCCTGTTTGCATAACCAGAACCAGCGCAAAGGGGGCAGAAACTGGCTCCATCCGCCCCGCTGAAGATTCCATTGGTATTGGAGAATTCTAACAGATCTAGAGTTAACATAGCTGGCTCCTCTATCACCACTTCTCTCCCATCCTCTGTGGTGGAAGGGGGAGAAACATATTGAAGCCAGGGAGGATTGAGAATGAGGAGTGGCTGGAGCATGCTAGACTCTAGGAACCTTTCCACCAGCTGGTCACAGCACAGAATCAGGCAGCCATACCCAGCTCCACACCACCATTACTGGCTACTGCTATGCTGAGCAAAACTCTGGTGCAGCAGGGAAAAGGGTCTAAGAGTGTGGCAGACTTACAGCTAGCTCCACACTTAAGTTAAAATTCATTCAAAAAGTGTAGCTCAGACGTACGTCAGACAATCACAGTTGTGATAATAGGTCTTCAGAATGGGACATGGCTGCCAAAACAATGTCTCCTTCACCAAAAAGCTTAAGTTAGTCATAAATTGTCATCTGCAGCTGAGAGATTTTGAGGCATGAAGTTAAACTGAGAGTCAAATCCTGCCTTGAATACCTAGAAAAGCCTCCCATGGATCTCAATAGAGTTCCATGGTGATTTTATGTGTACAAATTCTACAAGTCTTCCCACAGCCATATCCCCTCTACAACCACCACCCCCAAAAAATCTGCACAGCTCAAAGGGCAGAATGGAAAATAAATTCTGCCTCCTTTATTGCATGCAGGGAACCTGCTGAATTGTTCAGTGTCAGCATGCATCTCTCCAAAATGGCAGACTTTGGTCCTTTGAGAACTCCCACTAAACATGTAATTTGTTTAAAAAAAAAATTAAATCACATCAAATGTTGCATTTCTCCATATCTTATACAAAATTCTTAAAAAGCACTATTTAGAGTTAGTTCTACATATAATGAATTTCAATGGAGTTATGCCAGTTTACACCAACTGATGAACTGTCCCTACATTTTTTCTGTTTCTAAAAACATAGGTTTTTTTGGGAGGAGAGATTCTGTTTACATGGTCCTGAAAATAAAATCTTTATTTTATAAGAGTTTGTCAGATCCTGCTGTTCATTCTTCACTTAAGGTTATTAGATCTATTTGTGACATCAAAAGTAATTGCTGCAGAAATTATAATGTAACAAAGGATAGGACCTTAAGTAGAGAAAGTGGAATAAGCAACAGGTCCACCTAAAACTCTTAAGAAAGCAAGGTCTTGTTTTCATGCAAATATCTCAAGTCATAAAATAACAAAGGTGGGGTGGGAGGCGAAATAAAGTCATGTCAGCACAGCTATTTCTAAACAGAATTATTTTCAAATGTTTCCAGGAGGCATCAGCAGCTCTTTAATCTGTCAGAGTGATTGACATGTCAGAGAAGTAATCTTGCTGAAAAAGTCCTGACGTTGTGACAAGATTTCACTTCTTATTAGTAGTGATCTGATTTCAAAAAGGTCAGGTTGTTTTGAGACAATGCTTTCAGCAATCCCACTCTGATACAATGAGAAAGGGTGTTTAATAGCATAACGTAATGCATATTTCTATATCTGAATAAGGTCAGTTTATAGACAAAATGCTCCTTAAATATTGAAATAAATGTTTAGTCTTCAGAAGAGTTCATCATGATAAAGATATCTCAGTTTAAAAGAAAATGGACATGCATTTCTTAACCCAGTATGTGCTTACATTCCATTGACCTAAGTGAAATTCTGGGGCCATGGAAAACCAGTAGCAAAAGGTTCAAACTAGGCCAGTGAAATGAATTTAGTGGTCTCAGTCCTTTTCACAAAGGACAGGTGTTCCCATCACAATTGATGCCAGTTTGCATTCTTGTTGGCAGTCTCGGCAGAAGCTGAAGACTAAATAAGATGGAGACTTCATTACCCTTTCATCTTATCCAGTCAGATCAGGGTTGAGGCACGTTAGCAGGGCAGTATTAGGAGGTTTGCACAGCTGCTACCACCCATGCTATATCTCTGTCATCCAGCATTTTATGTGAACATACAAAATCCTCATTAAATCAGAAAATTAAAAAGAAAAAAATATATTTTAATATCAGTCAAGGTGGCTATAAAAACCACTTCAAAGCCTTCAAACTGCAAAACTGACCTGAAGCAATTGGTGATGGGTACTAGACATATACAGCTCATGAACTGCTCACAAAGTAGAGGCTGGCTAGGACTGGACTAGGAAACCTGACTTGCCTAGCTGGTCCACAAATCTGTGCTGTATCTGTTGGTTCAAAGAGCACAAAAACCCCAGAATTGGTTTTGTACATCATTTTTGAGAGCTCATCTTCTCTGAAACAAAGAATGAGTTTCCATAAATGATCTCACAGTATAGGCCAATGAGGAGTTGCAATAATATTTAAGGTAGTGGCTGCTGTTGGAGATGCAGGTTTAACAGGAAGAATACCTGGCACCTCTGCAAACAGCAGTCAAAGGTTCATCAGACTTCTTGTTCCCAAACAAAAGTCCTCACCTGGAAAAACTTTGAATGAGTACGTAATATGGCTACCTTAGTTGTTCTACCCTATGCAGTATTTTCTAATTACAAGTTGTACTCTGGATCTGAATCAGAGTTTGGTACCTCTGTAGCTGATGGCATTATTTTTAATCAACTCTGTCCTCCTTGTAACTGTGGTAGAGGAGTATTTGTAACCTTATGGTATTACCTCTGTGAGTGTTGTGTGTGCACAATACCCAAGAAAATGATTTAAGCAGGAAAAAGCAACTTTGTCATTCAAAATGTTAAATTGATACTAACTAACTTTTAGCTAGAGATAAATTGAAAAACATTTCAGGTGTTTCCCAAAGTTCAGTGTTGTTCAGAGGACACTGTTGAAGGTGTATATTTTGGCACTACTTCCATACAGTAAGCTTGCGAGGCATCACTAATACCAGTACTATTAACCCGTGAAGTGAAACTTCCAAATATTATGTGGCAGCACTCTGCATGCTGATTGGCTGACAGTGTGATTTTAATAGAGAAAGTATCTCCTTCCATGGATGGTACTTTAACGAAGAGCTTTCTGCCATGATGGTTAGGTATGCCAGAGACCTTTGGTGACATCTGTCTAGCTATCTTAGATATTTATATTTATTATTTTACAGTGCTCAATAGTGTACTTGGCATCCCCCTGTGCAGATAAGAAAATAGTTCTAGCCCCAAAGAGCTTACAATCTAATTTCAAACAATGATGGAATGAAGACAATAGAATGAGGGTAGTGAAGAAAGGACAGGCTAAAGCACTGGGACTATGGGGTGATTCAGTGATGGTATGTGCAGAGCACAGTGAAACAGGTTATTTTTTTTTCAATTATGTACATAAATGTGTTTAATGATTTACTACTTGTAGGCATCGTGGTAGAAGTGGATCTTTTTGGGGTGTGGGGGGGGGGGAATGTGAAGGGGGAGAAGTAAAATGGCCTTGTGGACTGAGCCAAGGATGTTCCATGTGTTGCAAGTGACATGGGAAAGGGGCACAGTGATGGTTGTTAGAGAAGCAGAGGCAGACTGGGTACTGAGGCTGGCATAATGGGGGGAGGTGTAAAGCGAGGTGTGATAAGTCAGTGTTAGATAAGCGATGCCAGTATCTAAGAGACATTTGCAATTGGACACAAAACTTGATTCTCAGTAACCTCAGTTCTATTCCTGAACCTTTTTTTAAAAAGTTGAGCCCATGACTCCCCAGCTGAAAGAATCACAGACAGACAAATGTCCAGTCTGTCTGCTTCTGAACCCTGGGCATCCCCATTTGTACAATACAATCTAGGATACAATTTGCCTGGAAATCCCAAATGACACTAAAACTAAAATAAAACAATGGTCTGGGCTACAAGAGAGAGCAGAGATCTGCTAGGACCATGATTCATTCAGTAAAACTGAGGTTGCTAGCCTAGAGAAGTGATTGACAGGAATAAACCTAGATTAGGAAGATCATGAGTCGCAAGCCTACACAGAGGAATTTGCGAAGCTGGATGGTGAGGAGGTTATGTCTTGCTGATTTAGTTGGAAAAGGAGGGAGGAAGCGGATAGCTCGGAACAGGTAAGGACTATGGATCACATAAGCCCTGTATACTCCCTGAATGTGAAGGGAGTAAATTCATGGATTCCGAGGCCAGAAAGGACCATTGTCATCATCTAGTTTGACATCCTGTATAACACTGGTCATAGAACTCCCTTCCTCCCCCCACCCCCCCCAAAAACTGCCTAGAGCTGCCTTTTTTTTTTTTTTTTTTTTTTAGTAAAAACATCCAAACAATTTAAAAATTGTCAGTGATGGAGAATCCACCAAGGCCCTTGGTAACTGTTCCAGTGGTTAATTAT